ATTGCCATTTAAAATGGCACTCAAAGAAAAAACATTTTGACTGGAATTTTGTGTCTTGCTGAAAATTTTAAAACAAACACTGTAAGTTTGGGACTTTTCTCATGACAGTATCTGTAATTTAGTGACTACGGTAGAGTTATTCATAGTAGGTTTTTCATTTACAAATCACTGTGGAACCACAAGCCATTACAAAGCAAAACTCCTTCAGTGGAAACCATGGAAGAAGATGGTCTTGGAAGCAAAAGTGACCTTAAATGACTTTGCCAATAAAACAAATGTGTTTGGAGGGATTTTTGCACCAGTAGAATCGTGAGACTCTTTTATTTCAGGGTAAATAGGCAATAGCTTCATTGAATTTTCAGTTTTTATTTGTATTATTTAATCCCTGCTCTTGAAGTAAATGACTTTTAAAGGATGTAAGGTTGCATTAATAAACCAGCATAAGGCCGTGTTTTCAGAAATGGTGGGGGTTTGCACTTAGATCGCTCTCTTTGGTGCATTTATCAAAGCAAGTGTCATTTGCTTAAACAAAATATGTAATGGGTTTTTTACATCAGAAACTATCTGCTGGTCCATGGCCTACTAGGAAACGATGCCGCTACAAAATACAAGTCTGATTTTTAAAAGAATAACTGATGAGTAAAGAAGCACTTTAGAAAATATTACTGCCTATGGGTTTTCTACAGCTACGGAAGTAGCGAGTTATTTCCTTCTAAGATCACTGCGGAGGTTTTCCACTTCTCACGCAGAACAGCGTGACCAGCTGAGACGCTGCGGGCGATTCTCGCGTCTGTGAAAACGGCACACGACTGGCACTACAGCTCTGGTTTGTCAGAACTCATTCTGAATGTACTACTCAAAGGAGAGCAGCAGCTACCCCAGGAATAAAGCTGCCCGTCCCACCTCAGCCCTAACAGGAAAGCCAGTCCCTCTGGGATCTGCTCACGTGGTGAAGCAGCGTCTCCTGTCCCACGGGAGCGACCGTGACTGCGTCGAGAGGTTCTACCAAGCCAAATCCAGACCCAGGAGATCACATTTCTTCTTAACTTGGTCTTCAGAACCTGCGATCCAGGGCTTTCCCCAGCCTCCTCCTCGCAGGCGGGAGGTTAGAGTAGGAACCGCTGCTATGTTCAACGCAAGGGGATCGCTGGTATCTTCCTCAAGCACCTTCACAAATTAAATAAACCAAAACCACTGTCTGAATGTGTTTCTCTGGTTTGGCTAGAAAACAACACCCTCGTCTTCATCTCTTCCCAAGTGCACAGTGAAATTTAGGAATCAAGTACTGAAATTATTATTCCAGGAAAAAGAAGGCTTTTTTTGTGCCCCTGGGGAATTAAGTATGTCCTTGTTGATGAAATGTGGTGAAACATGGGGATGGAAGGAATCTTTTTTAATTAAATTTCCGCTCCAGTTAGGGCTTCGGGTTGTTGTTTTTTGGGTGTTTTTTTAATTGTTTTTGAGAGGAACATTCAGGTGCAGAGCCAGGTTTCTTGTGGAATACCTCAAAATGGCTGTGGATACCAATTTACAGTTTTCTGTGCTCGACTTGTGTAATTTCTGGTGTACAAAGCCTCGGGGGCCTAACAAACCAGGGGTTTTCAGAATTCAAACAAAACGTGCTAAATACAACATCTTACCAATGGTAAGGTGTGTGATTGCCACCAGTAATCATTTCATTTGTGGCAGCAGTGAAAGCTGCCTCTCCTGGCAAGGCTCAGGAGAAACAACCCAGCAACCAAGCGTTGGTCCAAAAGGCAAAAAATAACACTTTGTTCATCAAAAAATGTTTATCATTTTGAAGTAGATTTCATCTCTCACCCCATAAGCATTAACTTCATGACGGAAACCAGATGTGTATTTCAACCTGGATATGCTCTTAGTAGAAACCTTTGTGTGTGATAAAGTAGGTGAATGTTGAAGCCACGTTTCCCCCCCTCCCCCTAACTTTCAGTATGACTTAGCGTTAGAATAAGGGAAGAAAAAGAACTGGTTGGTTTACTGCAAACTATTCTATGTTTTTCTGTGAAGAATGTACAACAACAGGGCTTTGAATGGTGATAATAGCACATGTCCCAGTCCTTTTATTTGAGCCCCAAATGTGAGCACCTTGGTACCCTGAGAGCGGGGCTGAGGTGGTGGCAGCCGGGCGAGGAACAGCTCCTGGGGGAACCAGGCCGGGTTTTCCTAGAACTTCTGTTTCAATTTGCTATCCTCTATATTATTTTAAAATGTTAAATGATTTTTATCCTTTGCAAATGGAATGTTACCCAAAATGGTTTTGTTTTTGTTTCGGGTTTTTTTTTCTCCCAGTCGCTCTGTTAGGAGATGTGAGCGTGGAAAAGGAAATTCATTATGAGCAGAACTCGCCAATAAAATGTCACTTGTTTGGGTAGTTTTTATGGAGTGGTCTGTCCGTGCTGATGTTACAAGTTCTCTTGGAAAATACAGACTTTCAGGGTGATACGGGTGTAACAGCTCATTTTCCATTTTGACACGTTGCTGCAGGATCACACAAAACATGAGCGACACCAGATGGAAAATGTACAAATTCAGGGGCTTGTGTGACTGAGGGCACTGGTGTGAGACATACCTCCAAATACCAACATTTTTAGTGGCAGGGTGCACAAACACCTCCAAATTTTGACATTTTAATGGCCAAGTGCACTTGGGGAGGGGGAGGACAGGGACAGACCCCCATGAGGAGAAATTTAAATGGTGTTGCTAATTGGATTCATTCTCCACTTTAAATTTATGGTGAACATAGAGGTAATCCATTGTAGCTTTCCGTGGAAGAATCCTTCACATCACAAAGACTCCTTCACAACAGGAGGCAGTTTGGTTCATCACAAATATGTTATTATAGTATTAAATGTTCTCTTGCCCTGATGTGTTGCCAGAGCAGTCACTTACATGAGAGACTAAGCAGGAGGGTAGTGCTTGTCTTGGCTTTAGATGCTCTAAACCATTGCATGTCTTTGAAGGTTTATTTTAGGCAACTGAGTGATGTTTGACACACTTCATTACGACCTTTACACGTAAGTGTTTAAAGAAAGAAGCAAAGCCCCTTGCACAAGTAACATGTACCTGTGTGGCAGGTAGGTTTGTCTCCACTCCTGTAAACGCACTCCTTCAGGCTAACAACTTTCAGGTAGGTTTTAAAGTGTGCCAGAGGAGGTTAGAGCTGAATAGTAGAAAAAGTTCTTCCCCCAAAGGGTGGCTGGGCACTGAACAGGCTCCCCAGCGAAAGGTCAGGGCCCCAAAGCAGAGTTCAGGGAGCTGCCAGAGTTTGGACAATGCTCTCAGGCACAGGGTGGGATTACTGGGGTGTCCTGAGCAGGTCCGGGGGTTGGACTCCGTGATCCTCCCTTGCAGCACAGGATATTCTGTGATTCTGTAGCAGCCGGACGAGGGCTGCTGCGCTCCCTCCCCGCCGGCTGCGCTCTGGTCCGTCCGTGCTTGGCGGCGGGAGAGCCGTGAGGGGAGGGAAGGGTCCGTGAGGGCAGAGAAGGGACCGGGAGGGAAGAGCCGTGAGGGGACACGGGGGTACTGCTTCTGGGGGGATATGGCAGATCCGCCTTTGAGGGGATACAGCGGTACCGATTCTGGGGGGATATGGCGGCTCCGCCTCTGAGGGCGGGGGGAGGAGCTGCACGCGGCGAGAGCGGGCTCCGCGCTGGCCAATCAGGCGTCGGGGCGCTGCGCGCCGCAGCCAATGAGCGCGGGGCGCGGCTGCGGGCGTTGGGCGCGGCTGTGGCGGGGCCGTGAGGCGCGGGCCGGCGGGAGCGGGGCCGGGGCCGGGGCGCTCGGTGCGGGCGGCGGGACCGCGCCTCAGCCTGCCCTGGAGCTGCGGTGAGACGCCCTTCTCTCCCCCGGGGCTTCCCCCTGGGCGAACGGGAGCACTGGGCTGCCCTCTAGGGCTCCCCCGGCCTCAGCCAGCGCTGAGACGGCGTGCGCTGTGGTTCAGCGTTTGTGTCGGGATAGGTTATGGTACCTTAATCAGGGGCGTGGAGGTGTTTTGGTTCTTGTTCTCAAGGGGAAAGTGAGGGGGGAAAGTCGCTTCTCTGTGCTAATAATGTTGTGATTTCTATAAAGGCATCTGGGATGCGCTTTGGCAGCGTTTGGCTTTTCAATTCCACGGAGTTGCTTATAGCTTCAGTTAGGGGGTGAAGGTAAAGTTAGTGTAGTAGAAAAGGACAGCGTTTTTGAGGCAAAAATAGCTGTAGAAGTGTATTATTAAACCATGTAAGTGTTAAAGACCAGGTTGGATAGGGCTTGGAGCAACCTGGGATAGTGGAAGGCTTGAAAATTTGAACATTTGAATATTAATCCTTAGCGCCCCCCACGCCCCCTGGGGAAGGGTTGTCAGAGACAGTGACTAAAATTGGGATATGTCATTTGAGTAGTTTGGAAAGCAGAAGTAATTGAGAAATATGGCTTATGTTTCTATGTATTCCTTTCTTTGTTAGAAGCTTCTGAGGGAAGGCAGAGAAGAATTGGCAATATCCTAAGAAACAAGCTTCACAAAGAGCATCTTCCATCCCTACATGCTTTCTCTCTGCTTTTTGTTGGTGTTTGTTACACAACTGGGTTATATGCTTTAATTTCCCCCTTGTCCAACACCCAGGGGGTTTTTAGTTTTTGGGAGGCACAGAGCTCCAAGTTCACCTCTTCTTTAATATAAGTAACCTTTAATTGAACACTTAGTGTACTGTAGGATGCAGACATCTCACTGTATATCGACAGGGATTCCACCAATTCAGAAATGAGCTCTTTAGGAACATGCTGTAGAATTCCTACCTGCTCTCATAGCACGCAGTAGGTGAAAATAGGATAGTTAATTTAATGCATTCTTTTGTCCTTTTGTATGCCATGGAGCATCTTGAACTTCTCTTAATTTTTATTAAGGTAGGAAGAGCGAAACCAGTGACGGAGAGGTTGCAGTGGCAGTGGGTTGTGTGGATTCCTTCTGAGGAGGAGGAGGAGAGTGTGTCAGTGCCATGGAAGTGGAAAAGAGCAGCAAGAGGAGTTGCTTCACTCAGACCTCCTGTTTGGGTGAAGATTTAGGTGAAGACTCGCAGCTGGAGTATCTCAGTGCTTATGAGGAGTGTGAGGAGGATAAGAACAACTCGAGTGAGTTTTCTGAGCAGGGGGAGGTTGAAGAAATGAAGAAGATGCCACTGATTGGTGACAAGGTGCCACCCCAAATCAGGGCAGGGGATGAAGAGTCTGGAAAGAGCAAAAGACCCACCCACAGCGTGGCAGTGGAGCCAGACATTCCTTTCCTGCCACCCAGGGAAAAGGCCCGACTCTGCAAAGGTGCAGAGCCCTCCGATTTCAGCAGCTGTGAAAAACCTGCGGTGTGCACACATGGTGCCAGCAGCACTGACAGCCCTGCAGAGCATGCTGAAACCCAGCTCCCAGTCCCTGAAATCCCCCCTAGCAAGAATCCTGTTGCTGGTATGGAAGCTGCAGATAAATCCTCTGGTGGGAGCCCCGGTGCTGTGGAGTCAGAGCAGGGGGAAGCCCTGACGAGTGTTCCCGGTGTGTCTGCAGCTGTGCAGGCTGTGGATGCTGGCTCTGATTCTGGCTTCCCAAGGAGCAGAGGCAGCAGTGCCCAGGTCTGTCTCTGCTCCAGGGCAGTGAACACAGAAGTAACCATGATGAACAAAACTCGACCTGTGGGGTGGCTGGGTCAAACCTCCGTGGATGCTGCTTCCAACACAGAGTGGTCCTTCAGAGCTTGGAGCTCACACATGCAGGTAATTGACACAAAACAAGAAGGGCCATCAAACCAGATTGATAGAACTTCTTTTAACTGTAATTTGTCTGCAAGGATGTTAATCTGTAACTTTAGACTTTTTTTTTCCTTTGAAAAGCAGGAATCAAAAGATCATCTGTGTATCTGTGACTGGAAGACAGGCACCAACAGGTGGGTCAGGAGTTGTTCTTGGTTTTGGAGTTTGAGATTCTGATTAAGAGGTTTTTTCATTATTGAGAGGTTGTCTCTGGCTTGGCAAAACTGATGGTATTAAAAGCTTGCTGGGCAGCAGTTTCTGCTGCAGGGGCCTGGACAGTGAGAAGAGTGAGCTGAAGACTTCCTGAAGCTGAACAAAGACCAAAGCAGCCTTGTTCTGTGGCTGCAGAACTCCAGAAATCCTTTCCAACCTAAATTATTCTATGGCTGTGGAAACAAAATAAGTGTGTTTGCAGATCCACAGTGTTGCTCAGTTTGTTCTTAAGACTTCACTTTTCGGGTAAAAGTTGTGATGGTGCTTGTGCAGGTCCCACCTCTCTGGTAAAACTGACTGTAGTGCTACAATCATTAGTGTGGGCTAAATGGGATTGTCCTTAAATCATACCAGAAATAGCTTCTGGCAAGCTCCTTGCTTCAAAATAAAACACTATGAACATAAACAAAATCTTGAAGCCCTGCAATAAATACTCTGTTATTGTTGTTACTATTTTAAAGGCCAGAACATCCCAACAAGCAAACTGGGAAGAATTCTACATCAGGCTGCTGTCAGAACGTCCTGCAGAGAGCAGCTGAAGCAGAGCTGCAGCTCCTGGCCATCCATTACAAGATGTGCTTCCAGCACTGCTTGAAGGTTTATGAGCTGGCTTCAGAGGAAATCACTTATTTTGGGAGGCACGTGCTTTAACGTCCTTTAAAATAAAATGGATAACTGGGTTATCAGGGAAAAACTGCTAAATGGTACTGGTAGATTCTATCCAGAGCTTCTAGGAATGTTCATAATTAGTGGTGTTGGCCAGAGGACCCCCAAGTCTTATTTCCAGCTTTACTATTTTTCTGTAGCATTCACAGTCCCAGAATCCTGGAGTTTTTTTCCAGGAATAAAACCCAAGTGATGCACAGTACAGTTGTTACTTCATGTTCTGGTATAATGTAGAGGAATCTTTAAAGCCTGTAAAATCTCTGGGCATCTCCAGAAGCTGTAAAGTCAGTGAAATGCCTTAAGCTGATGTTGCTTTTTTACCTATATTTTAATAGATGTGAGGAAAAGTCCAAGTTATATTCGTCTCTCCTGTTGGTTTTGGATGAGCTGGACAATAATTACAGCAATATGAGAACGGAATTAAACATGGGCATACCTTTAAATGAACTTCCACCACTGTCAGTTGAGCTGAAGTTTTCCCCAATCTCTTCCTTTTACGTCCCCTCCAAGGTAATTTCTTAAATGTTTTCTGTTTTTAATATAAATTGTTTTATAATTAAGATAACTATAGATAAATATTTCTCTTTTTTTTTTTTTTTTTTGACAGTTTCTCAGGAAAAGTGTTTACTCTGAGTAAGTAGTTTTCATTTGTTGTTGTACTTACTAAATTAAATGAGAAATGACATTAAAGGATGTTAAACCTATGATTTCTTTATTTCAGGATGTATCTTGTTGTATCAGGCTGTTCAGTTGAAAGATCAGAGTTGCCCTGGGGGTACAACAATTTTATTTTAAGGGCATTTTTCCTCTGTGGTGTTCTAGCAGGCAAAGCAGGGAGTGTCTTTACCATCTTTATAGTAAAGGTTTTCAATTTACAGGTCATTTTCCTGGTGCCCTGCTTTCACTACTAAAAATCTTTGTCTCCAGTTATAATGGCATCTGTCTTAAAAACCAAGCAACAGAAAATCCCACACCACAAAAGCCCTAAATGAGTTTGCTGCCAGCAGAGATAATATTAAACATATAGATAATATTAAGAGATAATAGGAAGCTGTTTTTGCTAAGATTATCATTCAGATATGAAGAATGATAGAAAAATAACTTTGTATTTCAGGCAGGTACATGACAGAACGTTTTCAGGAACCACATCCAGTGATTTTCTGTAAGTGCAGGTGAAAACAAATTTGGCAGTAAGTTTTTAGTAAATTGGGTGAACTGCTAAGAGACTGTTTGAAATTCCCTGTTAAGTATGAGTGAAGTTAATCAAGAAAAAGTAAAGGCAATTATTTTGTTTTGTAAATAATTAGCAAAAGTTGCACAGGTTTTTCAGATTGTAAGGAATACATCTGAACATCACACAGAAAATTATTCAGATATAATTTAAAAAGCCAAGATTCATGAAGTGTGTTTATTTTACTCTGAGCTTCTGGAAATATTTAAGTTACTGTAGAACTTGAAATTCTTGTCCCATATTTTGTATGAAATTCTTGGATGTGTTTTAGTGATCTTTCAGGTGAAGGGAAAGCTGACTCTGAAGACCCAAAATCTCAAGAAAAGGGGATTTCTGTCAATATGGTAGGGAATTCTTTACTGCTGGGTTTTGGAGATGGTAAGGTTGAGAAGGATTTTCTCCTTTTAGGTGCCTGGGAATGTGATCAGAGTCTTCTCTGCCCGAGACCCTCTGCCACTAATTGCAAATGCAGCTCATATGTTCACAGTTTTAATTGCCCTTTCAAAATAAAATAACTTGGGGATTCTTGAGGATGATCAGCAGATTAACTTTTTTAAATTCACCTGTTTCATGGGCAGATATTACAAAAAATATTTTATAATCAGGTGGGAGTGCTGTGATATAACTGAAACGTGTTTGTAGGACAAGTTACAGACTGATGGTGATCAGCCAGGTGACTCTGCCTGCCCTGAGACATGGGAAGAACAACCTAAAGATCAGGCTCTGGAACGTGGTGAGTGATCTGCTCCTTTAGAATCCTTTATTTGTGAGCTGAGTTTTCAGGGGAGGAAAGAAACCCTGTGGAAAACAGATATACATGGTAACACAGCTGCCCTTTCTGTGTTGGAATGTTTATGTATCAGCTATCCAAACTTACTGATAAGTAATAATAGCTCTATATTATTACTTAAAAAAAAAAATCTACTTAAATTAGAATTCCAAACTAGTAATATCACTTCTTTGAAATGTAGTACCAAGAAATTTAAGTAGCTGAAGTCCTCTTCAGCACAGAAATTTGATACTCATTTATTTAACATACCGTGGTTTGAATTTTAACACTTGAATTTTATCCTAACTGCCAAGGCTGTGTGAAAAATGAGGAAGGGAGTGAGTATTGGTTTGATGCTAAGGAAGACTTGTCAGTGGCAGATATTTCAGTAATGTGCAGAGAAATGAAAAAGCAACAAGGAAAACAAGACTCGATTGACTCAAGAGGTAAAGTCATGTGCTTTAAGCTGATAAACCAAATAATGGTGTTTATTATTGGAGTGCTCTGTTCCTTCTCCAGGCATAACTAAATGTGGAAAAAATGCCAGCTGTGTTTTCAGATTTATTTTGTCATTCACTAGCAGTGAATCCTTGTAGTCAGCTGTTTGCATCCATCCATGTTTTTCCTTGAAAACTTCACCTGCAGTGCTTGAACTCAAATTAGTAAATGCCCAGCCAATCACATAGATGGAAATCTTTCATTTTTTACTTCTTCTTATTTTTCTGCTGCGTTCCCATGCTGGACTCTTGAGAGTGAGTTGCAAATGGTTTTTGTGTTTGGAGACTTGGGTCACAGTGATGGGTGTGGTGAGAAGACAGAGAGCTTGAGGGTTATTTGTACCAGCCTTCAGCACTGGTAGTGTTTCTTCAGAGCTGTGCTTCCTCTGCCTCTTAAAACCTCAGGAAGCACTCAGGGAAAAGATGTTCCACAAACTGAACTCTGCTGTGCTTCTCAGGACACTCCTTTTCTGTTAGAGGATTCGCTGCTTTCTCTTTGTTTCTTCTAAGGTTTTCTCTCTAGGCTGTCCAAAGTCTACAAGAGAAGATGTCAGCTCAAGAACTGCTCGTAACTCTTTGCTTTCTTACATTTATTATTAGAAATGAAGACAGTGGGGAGTGGGAATGAGCATTCTTCTGTTCATGTTGGTGGCCTAAAACCCTCAGTGCCTGAGGTAGGTCTGTTCTTAATTTTTAGAAGGAATTTCTTGCCTCTTTAAGGCTTCTTTCATATTCCACATTTACAACCATGTGCCCTGATCTGAAATCACCCACTTGAGAGCTGGCACATTCTTTGCTTGGAGATAACCAAAAGGTAATTAATTATTACTGACACTCCTTTCTGTGGCAGACTAAGAGCCTTAAATCTTCTTGTCTCATAACATTTAATAGATAGAAAGTTACATTAGGATAGGAAAATATGTTGCATATTGGTAATAAATTTCTGGCATGTGGCAGAAGAGTGAAAGCACCATTCTTTTGCCCCTGCATCAAACTATGAAACTCCAGCTGTTTTTCCTTAATCCTAGGACAGTTTGGAATTTACCCATTTGCACTAGATTTTTCCATCTTGTAACACCTATTTTTTTTAATGTAAATGTCATGTGGCTTTATACAGGAAAGATTTTGGGGGTAATGGATGGGAAAGAAACTCTTGGACTTCCTGGCATAAATCTAAGAGTCCTTTATTTACAAACAAGGTGTTTTGTATTGGCTCAGCTTGGTTCATGGAGAGTAAAGGGCAAATCAGTAATTGCTGGTGTTCCTCCTAAACCACACAGATTTGCTGTCTCTGAGGATTTCCCTTTAAACATGCTGGTAACTGGATCAAATTTAAAGTATAGAATAAGAGGATTATTAGTAATAATTAGTATAAAGGAATAAGATGAGCTTTAAGGTGCCTTCCAACCCAAACCATTCTGTGGGTCAAGGATTTTATATTTATTAGTAGGAAAGAGGTGTTGTATTACCTGTACAATGCTTAACCCATGCATTTTTTTTCCTTTATTTTGATGCAATTCTAGGAGCCTGGGGAAAATTCCCTGCAGAAAACATCCACTTGTCCCTCTGTCAACCCATCTGGTATCTTTGTTTCTCCTTATGCACTGAACTTGAGCAGCTTTACCAAGTTAATAAAGAGACTTCAAGAAAGGCATCCAGAGTTTAGCAGGTGAGATATTTGCATTTCTTTTATGCCCTGATTTGTAATGGAGCCAACATCCACGGTAACCGATTGCTAAATGTGTGGCACAAAATGTGGTGTCAACACTTATTTCTTTAATTGGCACAGAGCTGAAATTGTGGAAGCTGTGCAGGAGGTGAGGAAAATCAACAAAGGTGTCCTGAGTGGCTTGGCCATTAGTTCTATCGAGGAAAAGACCTCTGCCATTCTGAGGAGATCGATGCGCTGAGGAGATCCCGGCAGGAGCAGCAGTGGAAAAGGTGAATATTCCAGCCTGCAGGGGAATAAACCTTCTGTGAGTTTGTGTAGCTCTACAGCTTGACTGGATTCACTCAGCCTAAAGCCCTGCAGGAGGTCATCCACTGGAGCAGTGGTTTGTGAGGTGTAAAGCAGGTTGCATTGTATGAATCTTGGTGGTTAATTACTGAAGGTGGTTAATTGCTTTGCCGCTGAGCTTTGTGGAGGGCGCTGTCACATCTGCTCGGTACAAAGCTGACACCTAATGGCCAGACCTTGTGTGGCCTCTGATAAAGAAATCCCAGCACTGGCTCAGTTCTGGATCACTGATGATTTCTGTCTGGAGTCTGTGGGCCAGCTCAGGGCTGGAAACCTGACAGAATCAGATTGTGGCTTGTAGTTTTCTCACCCTGATCCCTTTGCACTGTGGTGTGGCACTGCAGGAAGCTGCAGCAGGCTGAGCATGCTGAAACCACAGTCTGGAACTCCAGGGATGTGTCTATCCATCCTTGCTTTAGTCTCCTAAAAGAGCTTGGTGCTCTGCTTGCTTTGAGTACCTCCTAGCAGTGCCACTCCCAGGTTTCCTGCAGAAAGGAAATCTTATTAATCTCCTGTCTGACTCTCACAGGACTGCAGATAGGAACAGAAACTCATCCCCAAAAAATTAAAATCTTATGCTTGGAAGCATTTTCAGTCAGTAAGGTTTTAACAGCCTCAAAACGTGTTGTGCTTTCCTTGAGGAGTGATTATTTGGTTTTCCAGTGGTGCGTGGGCTCTGCAGACCTAATTGTTCCTATTACAGTATCTTTTCCTGTTGTTTTGTGTGGGAGATGATGACTTAGAATAATTTTTATTTTCATCACGAGGGAGGTGTGAAATGGCTAAGTCATTAGTAAATAATGGGGAGAAAAAGAATCTCCATCTTCCATAGAAAAGGAACATTTAATAATAATAATACATTTAAGAGAAGGTGATTCTGCTCAAAGCCCACCTGTACTAACTCAGTCTCTTTGTTGTACTTTGTTCTAGATCTGCTGCAATTGCTGCTGGAAAGAGCAGCCTTGTTTGCTGTCTATAATAAAGGTTAAAATTTGTTCTTCAAAAACGCTGGGCCAATGCTGTGCTGTTTGCAGACCCCTTCTGCTCCCTCTGCCCGTGGCTTTGTGCTGTGCCCTTGGTCCCGGTGCTGCAGGTGAGGCCTCAGCTTTGGTGTCCTGCTGTGTGGAGATGGGAGCAGCTCCAGGCTTTGCTCTGGCACGTCAGTGCCAGCAGCTGTTGCTGCTTCTGCCCCCCGGCCTTGGCTCTGTAATGAGGCAGGTGATAATAGTTCAGGAAGAACTGGCTCTCTGGCCTGCAAGCTGTTCTGTTCCTCTTGGGAAAGAAGCGTGCACGATGAGAAAGACTCGAGTTAGCTCACTCTAATGTTCCTTCACATTCTCTTTTTTACTGATGTCCCCTTGGAAGGGAGAGCTGTCCTGAAGCGTGAGAGAAGCGATTTGTGGGGCAGTGCCCTCGCTGCGCCCAAGGGCTCATGGTGATGCGGAGCGCCCGGGGAGCCCCGGCGGGCTCTGCACAGCTCGGGAGCGAGCTGCAGGTGGAGCTCTGGGAGCTCAGCAACGGTGTCACACACCCGAGCGAAAAACAGGGGAAGCCACAAAACATTTCTCCTTTAAATCGCGTTCCATGTGTACGTTCAACACTAGAAAGGGGAAAGGCAGGGCTTTTTAGCTAGGGAGAAATCCCCTCGGTGGATGTGGGAGCGGGGATGAGGAAAGGAGGGAGTGAGGACGCAGGGCTGCTCCGCGCTTTCCTTCGGAGCTCTTTGCTGCCTTTGCCGCAGCTCTGGGCTGCGAGGGGGAGAGGGCGATAAGGAGAGCCCGGGCTCCATCCCAGGGGAGCGGATCCCCCTCGTTCCCCCCGCGCTGCCGCCGGGAGAGCGGGGCGGGAGCGGGGCCGGGCCCGCCCCTCCCCTCTGGCAGCGCCGCGGGCGCGGAGCCCGCCCGGCCCCGGGAGCGGAGCCGCTCCTGCCGCGGGGCCATGGCCCTGCTCCCGCGGCGCTTCCTCTGCTTCGTGCTGGGTAAGTGCGGCCGCCGCGACACAACTTCCCCGGAGCCGCTGGGGCGGCGGGCGAGGCTCCCCGGGATTCCCCTGGGTACGGGCGTGCAGCCCCGGCCGCCTCCTCCGCGCTTTCAGCGCGCTCCCTGAAGCCCGGCGAGGCTCCAGCCTGGCTTCGCTGGCGGCACAGCAGTAGGGAGTCAAAAGGAGAGATGATTCCAGGGCGCTGGGACGCGGTAAAACATTGCGCTGGGCTTCGGGAGCAGTGAGGCGGGGATGCCGTGGGACGCAGCCTGCTTTGTGCGGGATTCCCTGCTTGCGAGATGGACCGAGGCGGCTTCTGCCCGCTGTCCGTGCCTTTTGTTGCAAATGTTTAATTACTGCCTTTGGAGTCTGGCTTGCCATTCCTAAGCCGCAGGGAAGAGGAGGCAGCCAGAAGTGCCCCTTGAAGGAGCTGAGGTTGGATGTTCTGGGGTTTACGGGTGATGGGGTTGGAAATGCTTGCGGTGCGTGGTTGTTTCCATGGGATGCAGCGTGCCTCGGTTTCTTTGCTGCTCCTGGCATTTCAGTGCAACAGGTAGAGATTGGTGCCGTGCTTGTCACCTGTGTGCCCACAGCAAAAGCTCTGAGGGATGTTGGTGCTATGTAAAAGTGTGTTTATTTAAGGTACTCCAAAGGGAAACCGCGCACCCTCATCCTTACGCTGATCTCCCACAAAATCAAAGCGCTGCTTGAGGCAGCACAAATTTCTCCTTCTTTCCCTTCCTTTCCCTGTGCTGGTTTTCTCCTCCAAGCCCTGGTGAATAATGCATTGAGCCGTGCTGCACGTAATGTGCTTATCTGTACCATGTAATTAACTATTTACTGCTCCTCAGCTGTGCAGGGGCAGCCTGTGCCCTTGGACGAGGCGCATTCCCCTGCTGGGTTGCAGGGAAAGGCTGCACGTTCCTGGCTGCAGAACCCTGTGCAGGGAGCACTAACTCCTGCTAGGATTTCTGTCTGCTCTGCTTTCCCAGCCCCTGTCTCCTTTTCCTGACTCTCCTTTCTCTTGGTTGGGGAGCTTTAACTTGTAAAAGTACTCCAGGCTGCTCCTTTCCATCTCCAGTGGGCTCGGAAGCAGCAGGATGCTGCCTCTTGTGTGAACCAGGTGACCAGTGGCAGCTAATCTTGGTGCTGTGGACGTGTTTTTCACTACATTCTCCTCCTGGGATTTTTTATTTTGAGCACATTTAAGGAAAAGACCCACCCTTTTTACACCTTTCTGCTTTTACAGCTCGGTCTGTGCTGAAATTGCAAGTGGCAGCTGAGTGCCCAGAAATCAAGGTGATTTGCACCAATGCTGGTGTTTTAAATCGAGAATTATTTTTTAAAAAAGGAAAGGCTCTGAAAGAGCCTTTCTTTCTTTCTGAAAGAAAAGCCTTTCTCTTAAAGCTCGAGTTTTAAGTAGCTTCACCACTGGCTGCAGACTTTAAAAAGTGGTGGCAGTCAGGGAATCAGCCATCCTAAAAACCCCAGTCTCATTCAGCGGGCCAGGGATCCAGTGTAACCACTTCCATTAAGGTAAAACGTGTTTTTTTCGGGGTTTTGGCTGCATCTCACTGCAGAGGCTGCTCAGGGAGGAGGGGATGAGCCAGGCTCTTGCTGTTACTGGGGCATGATGATTGGCACCACACACAGCTCTGTGCTGTATTTTGGTGTTTGAGGGCAGTGCTGGGCTGCTTGGATTTCTTCTGGGTGTAGATAACTATTACTGTGAGAGGTAGGAGGCAATTACAAATAAGGTAAAACATTAATACCATCTTGATTCCCTGCATCTTCTGTCTATGCTGTACAGCACTGGGTTTGCACAGTCTACAGAAAATGATGCTTTCTTAAAAACAAAACTTCTGGGCACTGTTTATGACCTCTCCTGGAAAACAGGAATTAAAGTCTTCTCTCAGCCCAAAGCACACTTGGTAATCCCTGCCACTGATTGCAGTTTGAGTGCCTCCTTTAGAAAAATCTAAAGCTCCCTTTAAAGTCAAATTTAAGGCTGCTGCCTCTCTCAGAAAATCCTCCTCAGTATTTAGAGAGTGCCCTGTTAGAAATCCCTGACAATAAAGTAAAACATTGCTCCTCCCTTTCAGAGCATCTCTGGCATGGAGAGGACTCAGAACTTCCTATGCATCAAAAGAAAAGCATGTGGATATGGACAAAAAAATTGCCTCCACCCTGTAATTTCTTGTACTGCTCCCATAGGTGCCAGTGGTTTTCCTGCAGAAACCAGTGGCACAGGGATTTGAAGGCTGTGTGTGATCAGGTCAGGAAGCCTCGTGGCTTTGAGAAATAGGATTGCATTTTTTAACTCCGAAACGATGCTGAATTTAAGAGCCAGCACCGTAACCTCCTGTAATGAAATTACAAATGCCATGACCTGGATGGAATGAAATGAGAGGCCTCCTGATGGCTAAAGATGGGATTGGCATCTTTCACGTTTCCGCAGGGCTGGAAGTCGACACTGGGGTTATGGCAGAGTTGAGGGAGGTCTTGGAAAGCTGTGGGTGGGAAGCCAGAGTTTCTGCTCTGCTCTGGGAAGTTCGTTCTGCCTCCCTGACTGAATGCAGAGTCTGGCTCTGTCATTTTTTGGGGCAGGTTTGGGCCCCAAAACCATGCTTGTGCTCAGAGCCCTTCCCAGCACAGACACCAGGCAAGGGCTGAAAATGCCACTGGGTTGGAGCGAGAGGAGCATTAAAAGCCCATTAGAGGGGAAAGGCAGCGTTTCAGCTCACTCAGATAGCTAAATGCCTTTTTCTCCTCTAAAATATTGCCATGGCTGGGGTTTGCCAGGTCAGTTCCTGCTGTGGGTGGGTGATTATCAGGGAATCTTGGTCCCTGTCTGCCTCTATGCTGCCTCCAGAGCTGGCTGCTTTTAATCACCAAACCCACTAATGAAGCTGCTTCATGGTTTCAGTCCCTTGTCTCTGTGCTTCTACGACATGAGCTTCTGGGGATCTGAAAACACATCCTGACACCTCAGAGAAGCACCCCAGTGGGGAGGCAGGCAGCAGCCTGGGTGAGAACCCCCAGATTTCAGCCAAGGGTGATCCCCTGGGCTTCTCTGTATCCTTTAGGTAAGGTTTGCTGGGAAAGCAGCAGCGCTGAGTGTGGGTGAGCTGCGGAGAGATGCAAAAGCTCTGTGTGCTCTTCAGCTGGAAGGGAGGAAAACCACATCAAGAAGTCCCTGTTGAAAAGGAAAACAAATTATTCTGGTGATTCCTGGGCTGCTCACGTGGTTCAGCAGCAGATTTTAGTCTGGAAACTCTGTGTTGAAAATATTAGTGAAGCTGCTGTTGTGTGCAGCCTGTGATGGGTGCACCAACGTGACAGTGAGGTTATTTTGGTTTTCTCCCAAACAAATTTTTTAATTTATTCATTATGTGTTTCCTCATGGGAAGCCTGTTAGATTGCCCAGGCAGTGACTTTTTTTATCTTGAAGGTAATTCAGTAACATGTTTTCTAGTCCCATGTAGCAGAAAATCTGTGTTTAACACATGTTGGAACCTGAACCAGCAGGATCACAGTGTGTTGTCTCCAAACCAATGCCAAGCACTTTTAACCTTGGTGTTGTTTTTCCCTGTTCTTATTTTAGCCTCAATCAACTGAAATAGCTGAAGGAAAAAATAATCCCGGGGGTGGAAGGAGAGTACATTTGCCTTTAGCACATTCCTGAGATCTGGAGTGTGGTGGCTGCTCGTTTCTCCCTGGCTTTGTGCACCAGGACCAGCCTGGCTTTGAGACCGAGCAGACATCTGTGGCATCCAGTGCTTTGTTGATGTTTTAAAAATAACTCTAAACCCGGCTCTAACGTTGGATTAAGGTGTTGGGATGACAATGCTGGACACCCCAGTCCTCCCTGGGAAGGCAGGAGGGATGTGGCTGGTTCCCTTCAGCCCCTGGATTTGGGCTGCACAGATCCAGTGGGGATCCCTCCTTTCTTCCATCCCGCTCTTGTGAGCAGGGATTTGATTTGATTTGATGGTGGCCACAGCCAGAGATGATTTGAATTCAGGCTGGGCAAAGTCAGGGCTGTACAGACAGTGCCAGTGCCTGATTAAAACCTGTGGTTTTCCTCCATTAATTCAGTCAAGAAGAACTATTCCAAAAGACCCCTGCTATTCATCAAGGATATAATTATCTTTATAACTAACAGCTTGTGGCAGATTTTTCCCTCCCCTTATGTGCAGTCAGACAGCAGTTAGATTTCAGCATGCCTGGTTTTTTATTTCCTTTCTCCTTCCTCCCTTCTCAACTGCTTTTGATTTTATTTTACCTACTGAGTGAATTTTGGTGGGTAAATAAAAGTATTTTTCATTCTGTTCTCTGCAGAATCAAGTCTAGGGATATGTAAGTGCCATTCCTGGAAATGTGCTTGGTGACCTCTGAGGGATAACAATGTGTAGTGACCATACCATAACTTGTGCTGACTGAGGTGAGGAAAGACCCTCATCCAGTTCCTTGGAGCAGCCAATTTCAGTGTATTTAGCAGTTAATAGTATTTAACAGCAATGCTTTGTGGCAAAAAGTCAACCCCTTGTGACCCAGCTAAGCAGGACTGCCCTGCACTGGGCTACACAGTACAAACCTTTGGTTTGCATTTTAATTTTAATCTCATATTCTGCATCTTACAGGAGCTGTTACATGGAATCTTGTATGGATTGGAATGGTGTTAAATTATCTTTCCTTTGGGGATGGATTGGCTGTTTAGGTGCTTCATGAAATACTGGACTTAAATAACACAGTCCAGTGGTACCTCTGAGCCCCCAAAAGCCCCCAGACAGGCTTTGCTTTCAAGCAGCCAGCTCCTACCTCAAATTTCAACTAATAATTCCCTGGCAGCTATTTTTAGGCAGTTTATTTTGTGCCCTCTTATAATGCTTGCAGTAGCTATAGAATGACAACAAAAACTCAAGTATCCCCAACCCAGCAAAAAATAAATGCCTACAAATCATCCAAGTACCAGCTTGAGGGATAAATCACTTCCTT